GAAGCACAATGGAAAACATGGTCGAGATATTATAAAAAATAAATTATATTAAAGATTGAAGAAAATTTATTCGATATAATTATTATAATAGTGAAATTCTTTAAAAAAGTATTTGAAATATAAGTATTTCATATATCAAGCACAACGAAGTTAGCTAATTCTTCATATATATTACATTACATAAATTTTCCTAGCCTATTTTATAAAATATAATATAATTTATTAAATTTTCATACTAAAACGAAGATTCTTCTGTATATGTTTACTTTTGTATGTTTAAACAAATTCTGAAATTTAACCAAGGACAATTTCTAAAAAATTGCAGTTTTATAATATTATTTTTTTGATGTAAATTAATATCATGATTTAATAAAATAACTCGTTCCAAAAAAATTTTCACAATTCTTCCATATTTAAAAACCAAAAACATTAAAAGACTGTGTAGTCTTCCTGTTGTCTTCTTTAATATCGCGAGAAAAACTTTACTTCCTTTTTATCAGGAATAAGATCTTATAAGTGTTTTTATAAACAATATCTATTTCATAAATCTAGCATACAATATATAGTTCAAGATTCTTCATTTAAAATAAAATTTTTAAATAATTTTAAATGGTAAAAAATCAAATTTTTAAATAAAAAATAAAATTACAAGTTAATTATTTTGCAGATTTCAATTTAGTTCGAATTAACTATTTACTTTCTTTAAATAATAATAATTAAAATAATAATTATGTAAAGAGATGAAAGCAATTCTTATTATATTGCTTTTGTTGGTATTGAATACATTTTAATACGATATTAATTCAATTTTATTATTATAATAGAATTATTATATCTATTTCATTATTGAATTTTTTTATTCTCAATAAATTACAAATTTCGTTATTTTATGTGAAACTATTTATTTTTTTTAAAAAAATTCGATATATATTTATCTTTCTATCTGACAATATAATAAAATATTGGCAAATCAATATTTTCATTTACTTATAAAGATTATTTTCGAATATTCATGTCATGAATTATTAAATCTCTATATTTTAAATAATCAAAAATTTTTTTAGATTTATGAATCACGATACAATTTATTAAATATTTTTTTATTTTGTCGTTTATGATTTATAGATACTAAAATAAAAAAGATAACTCGGATAAAGAGAATGATTTTTCTCTTAAATTAAAAAATGGACATAAACAAAAATTAAATTCTTAAATGAACACTTGTGCAAAATTTTATTAAAAAATCGACATGTATCAACCACTGACGTTCTCTTGTTAGCTGTATGATATGTATGCACAGCATGTGTGAAACATTTTAACAAAAGATAAAAATTTGGTTGAGACGAACGGGCTTTCTTTCGCCTGATTCGAGAACGAACGAGTGACACGCAAATTTGTGGCTATAGTTCATTTGTAAATCATTTTTTGTCAAAAGTATACATTTTTCTGAAAGCATAATATGTTGGGTATTCTTTCTGTGTGTATAAAATGTAAACACCTACCAAGCCCAAAATGAAATCAATGTTTCTAACTTATTTATAATAAATAATATACATTAATGATAAAAATAAACGCAGTTTGTGACAGTAATATCAATGCATGATACCGCATTTACCTCGTATATTTACCTCAAAAGATAGTAATCCTTGAATATAATAATAATCCTTGATCCTATTCATGCTATTTTGTGAATTATGTTTAATTATGGTTTTTAATAAAAAAAATACATTATTTTCAGTTATATTTTGTTTATGTAATAGTTTTTATAAAAATATATATATACAAAAATAATATATGTATATAATTTTATTTAAAAAAATATATATATTTTCGTTTAAAAATGTAAACATGAAATTTATATTATCATTTTTACATGAATTTATGAAATAAAATTTATGTACAATTAATTTGTTATATTAATATATATTCTTTGTTTTATTTAGATAATCATTTTAATGAAATAAAATTAAAATGGAAATATTTAAACATTAAAAAATATATATTTGTTAATAATTTATTAATGTAACTTAATGATCGTAAATTTTTATTTTATTATTTAAAAAATATAATATGTTGGATATTCTTTCTATATATTATTTCTATTATTACAATATTATTATAATATAAAAAATAACAAGTATATTTCATTATAGTATTTTATACAATAGTCGATTATCCGAATTAATTGAGAGACAAATCTTAGATAAGCAGTTTTTCGAATAATCATAAAATAAGAACCAAATTTATGAATACACCAAACTAAATGTAGAATGCATTTTCGAAAATGTAAACATTTTTAGATATACTAATTTAAATTTAAATAGCTTAAATATATATATTCACTTAGCTTGTATAATCGAAATTTAAATAATTCATTCTTTATTTATAATTTATGTTCTATTGTATTGTATAAATTTTGTTATCAAAAATACATAATGAATTATGAATTTAAACGAAAATAATATTAGATTCTTATAGAAAAATTTGTAATTCGCGCACAAGACTGTTGTAAAACGTAGGCCAATGAGAAAATGGGTCGCCTAGCGGCGCATTTCCAAACATGCCGTTGAATTAAGGCGAGAATGTACTGTGAAAAGAATGTCTGATGCGGTGAAGAGAAAGCGCGCGCGCGCAACGTATGTACATGATCGCGGTGTCGTTTATACAAGTATAATCCTGCGGAGGATCATCGAAAGGACTACACCCCTACAGTAGAGAGAGTCAAGCTTTGTCACTGGATTGTACTTGTATAGTGAATAAAATCACGCAGTGAAAAAATGAGTCTTCTGCTAGAAGAGGAGGAAATTGACGAGTGAGTGTTTCTGTCATTTGTAATCATATTTTCTACGTTTAAGTTTCGTCTCCACGAGAGTGTTTCCTCCCTTTGGTTCAATTTGCAAAAAAGGGCTTGGCTATGCGCAAAATTTTATGAGATAATAAACAATTTTCGATGCGTGAACAGTAACATTACGGTAGTTGTTAATGATAGATTGTTCATAATAACTGTTTTAATAATTTACATGATTATGTTTCCTATGAAACTTTATGAGATTGTTATAGAAGCTACAAGTGTATAATTGCGAAGACATGTGATTCGAAAATCGAGTCTTTTTCGAAAATATAATTTATGATGTAAATAATGATACAATATACTAAAAAATCATTGTGTTCTTATTCGTGATGTCAATATTTCTTTTATTGTTTGATACATACGATAAATTTTTTCAATAGTATAAATACAATTAAAATTCTTCTTAAAGTTCTGTTCTTATGTTTTTATAATCTTTCTTTGATTTTATGTATAAATAAATTGATATTTAATAGGAAATAAGAAATAATTTATAAAATATTAATTTTTAATATAAAATGAAAAAATTAAAAGATTTAATTTTATGGATGAAAAAAAAAATATCGTCAAAGTAAATAAGAAAAAATGAAATATTAAATTGTATTATATAAAAATATAATAAATAAATTATATATAAATTTATAAGATAATAGCACATATAATTGAATTTAAATGGGAAAAATAAAATTTATGCAAAATGAAGTTTATATCAATGAAAAATATTTATTATTTGTTTACATTGAAACATATTAAAAAATTTTTGCATTAAAAGAAAGATAAAAAAAATATTTGAATTCATGTTCACATATATATATATATATTTTAGCTATCAATGGTCAGCAACGAAATGGACGATCGATGTGATATAACCATGTATTGTAATAACATGCATGTGTCATGATTCTTTTCCTCAAGTCCATGTATTCATTTGATTAAATTGTGAAAAAATAAAAGTTATTTAGACTATCTAATATATTATACGATTATTAAATAATCTGGCTATTTTTAAATTTTAATTAATTTATTTTGAATTTTATAAAATATGCTTTTCATTATTAAATGACTAATATATAATATGAAGTTGCATTTAAACAATTTTTTAATATTTTAATATGATGCTTTTACATATAAATAATTTTTTGTATCGATTTTTCTTTTAAGAAATATAATTTTTTTACGCAAATTTTAATAATATAATCAATAAATATTTTTAGATTCTCAATTAAAAATAATTGAATTCTAATTACCAAAATTTTTATATGAAATATACATTAATGTTTTTT